ATAAGAAATCAGAAGGCGTATAAAATGAACGCGACTGTACACCTGACTCTGTCTATTCACACATTAGCCTTCAAATTTTCTTGACTCATGTCGACGGAATTTGGCATTGGGGCTCCATATTAAATTTATGTGGACAAGCTGATACTGTTGCTTAACCATTAAGTATAACGGTTATTTTACACGGAACACAAAGTCAATTCTTCTCTAAAACTGTTCATCATATAAAATATCATTGGGCAACTCAAAACATAAATCTCATTAACATCTAAAATTTTTATTTCAAATGTTTTTCTTAAATTTGCACTTTGGTCACAGGAATACAAATTTAGGTTCTAATATTTTAAAATATAGAAAATAATGCACATAAAAATTCCTTAGAAATATATTTCAATCGGAAAATAATGAACATAGAAACTACTGAATTCTCTTAGAGAGAAAATAGTTTCAATTACAAGGATTCTGACGATCGCGTATTACACTGGCGATTCCCGAGTTTCTGGACCTTCTTATGTCGTATAGTATTCTGGGGGGAAAAAACCCACAACGTTCCGGAAACTTTGTTTGTTTCTATCCTCAGATAAATGGGTGGGATTCACTCAGTTGTGTCTCTTAGAAAGAGATAATATCAGCTCTCCGATAATTCTTCTGGCCATACACGTCGAACTTGGTATACCAGTGGTCCAAGACTGAAAAGCACTTTACAAGAAGATCATAAAAGAAATGAAGACATCAGAAATAGTAAGTGGACTTCACAGTGATTTGAATTGCTGGTTTCTGTGTTGAGATCCGTTGCCATGACACGACTAGTAGAAACTGAGAACCCTAGTGCGTATGCAACGGTGAACTGGAAAGTGTGTAAATCAAGGATAGCATTCAATTAATTGTAATTAAGAGGGAAAATATAACAGAAGTGCCAGTAAATCCAATCATCTGATCTAGAACCCGTTATTTGCGTCACGCGCACTCCAATACACGTGACACAGACGTATGGATTTCCGAATTTCCTTCTTTCCCGAATCCGCATAACCCACTGAAAAAGAAATCTGGAAACGAACATTGCTTAATGCTGGCCCAAGTTTAAATCACACGCCCATCAATCACCGGTTTCTAAAGGAACCCTTGCTACTACTCATTAATTTATCTACATTGCTGACAAGGGAAAGAAACTCCGAGGCTTCTGTCCATATGGCATTGTGTTTCGGGACTCCCGGTGGATAGCGTGAACAATAATTAAATACACGATTATATTCGTAACCAGGATCAGATGACAAGTGGCTGTAAACTCTAGCGTTTTATGCTTGATTTCGACGGCTGGCCGGAGAGCCAATTAGTATGCCCAGCAGATGGCTTCCATCTATTATTAAGACGCATCAAAAATCCGGTCCATTTTTAGGCCTACACGAAACCTTTGTGTCTGTCGGCTAGCAACTGACATAACCTCAGTCTTCTCTCCATACTACAAAAGCGAGACAAGGGGCCGTGGATTTCATTTTTGAAACAACAATTTTTACATTGTCGTGATGAGAACAAGAGAACTTACTTGGAGATGGCCCTGCGGTTTCACTACTGCGATAAAGAATATTGCTTCTCTCTTATGCTTCTTTTGTTTTTATTTTTTAATTTTTTTTTACACTTTTCCTTTCCTGCTTCTTCCGTCTTTCTCTCCGTGTTTCTTTTTCCTTCTATCTCCCTTTCTTTTCTCTTCTTTTCCCTTTTGTCATACACAAAATATGCGCATATTTTGGTTTAGTGACGTTTTTCCCCTCGAGGATTCAGCGCTTTGAAACTTTTAAGTTGCCCGTCTGGCCATCTTTTTACACATATACTCCTACATTATTGTTTTATATTGCAGGAGACCTATATGATTATGTGTATGAGCAATTATATACAGGGTGTCCGGATGAAAGGCATCTAAAATAAAATCAATATATCTCAGAAAGAATTTATTATATAAATTAATGGGTTACAACATTACAAAGTTAAAATACCGAAGTTTTTTTCTACGTATATAACTTTCTCAGTGAATTGAAATGTGGGCTCTCTTGGTGGCACGACAAATATCCAGGCTTGAAGCATGTTTGGTGTTACCGTAGCCACAGCGTCCCCTATGCGGGCTTTCAGGTGTTGGAGCTCGTTGATCTTAACCTGTTAGACAATGTTCTTCACATAACCTCAAAAGAAAAAATTCACTGGGGTTAAATCTGGCGACCTAGGAGGCCAAGCAATTGGTCCACATCTGCCAATTCATATCCCAGCCATCTCTCTGCCCATGTGATTCCTAACATGGTGACAAAAATATGGTGGCGCATGCGCGTAAGCCGGGATGAAAAGAAAAGTCTTTCAGAGTTTTCTTTTCCGATGACATAAACCTGATACGTGTATGACAATTCTTTTCCTGAATATAAATTTGTTTATATTGGATACCTTTCATCCGGACATACTATACTTTATACGTTCATATATGATAATCGCCAAAGTCCGCCTGTTCGACCCCGTTTCTCCCAAAAGGCACGTCATTGAACAAAAGCACTAAATTTGAGTCATGTTCGTTTTGGAGAGATAGTCCCGATAAATTTGTTAATTTCGCTGATACGTTCAGAGATTCAAGCCGAAGTCAACGTGTTCCTCCATTACTTGGCCCATACAAAGGGAACTGGGATTTTGACAATAATATTCACGTAAACTTCCCATATTGTGTGGTAACCGCGGTAAAGCGACGACTTTTGGATCAGAACTTCAAAGTCACATACTAATCATGGCAACGAGGTGCAGTTACACTAGATTATGGAGCGATATATAACAATCATAGTTTCGGAAATAAAATATGCCAGTTAACATTATAAACCCGGTGTAAAGGAAATAGTGATATATTAATTAAACAGTTAAGAAGCTTCTATGAAGCGTGTGCTTATTCTGGCCAGAAATTAAAGAAGTAAATTTATGCTGCCTTTCAACAGTTAACATACGCTGGCCAATCTTCATTTCACCAATGGCTTCGCAATCACCCTCACCTATCATATGAGGCTAGTATAATAGGCCAGTATTGGCCGCAGCGCCAAGTGGACTTAGTCCCACCCCACTAAGGAAAAAAAACTCGTATTTCGTGGTAAAATGTCTGACAATAGTGATGGGGGAATATTATGACTTAGGAGAAAATACAACTAAATACTAGAAATATACGCAAGAAACTAAATTTAAAGAAATAAAAAATACCTCTGAGCAAGAAACGGCGTTATAATGAGGAACTTCAGGATGTATATATTTCTCCCATTATTAAGGGGAGGTAAATCAGGAACATATCCGTGGAGGCTGCATACCAGAAACGAGAAATGCATATAAAACTTTCGCATGTAGCCTCTTCTAGTCATTGAGGTATAAGGTCTATGAAACTTTGACGCTTCTGATCTGAATTTATTTACGAGTAGACAAGATCAGTGAAAGAAACGCGTCCCACCATCTCTCAAGTTAGAACGACCTGTGGTTTTTACCAGCAGCAATTATATGTTACCGCGAATATATTCTAAAAGAATACAAACCCACTTGGTAATGGTTGTACAAAGAAAGATTGCAAATCGAAACCAGAGTGAAATAACATAGCGATCTGTATCACTGAAAACCACAAAAGAAGTAACACTTGAGTCACTGATACTTTCAAGGCTGGACTGGCAGCAAGTGACAGGAGGCCGTGGAATGGAAGCAGATCTGCTTACTAAGCCGACGTTTAGCCCATGTGTCGTAGTTGTGATATAGTAACAAGGGAGACTAACGTCATGTGACAATTTCCCACGGGTTGATCAAACAAGTTCAACAAAAAGTTGACCTTATAATGTTGCGAGAAGTGTCACCTGTCTGTTGGATCAAGTCAGTATGGTACGGGTACATCCCCTCCACCTGCTAGTTCGGTATAGGATGCCCCGAAAGTCCAGAAATCTATGTTCAAGTACGTGATTACTTAAGATACATCAGGAAATACTGCGCAGTAAGGTCCAGGCTGGCACAGAAAACATAATTTCTTTGGTACTCTATCTTCCTCTAGTTCTTCCTACCCTCTTAACTAAAGGCAAAGGTAAAGTTTTACCTGTGCTTAACTAATTCAGCACTACGCTATGAAGGCGTATGGCGGAGTGGATGTTAGCTCCACATTTTCTTGAGCTCGGCACTAGTTGGAGGTGAGTGATCAGCTTCACCCCCCTTCCCCTTTACCTACGGAGAAATAGCTCTCAGTACCCATCGGATAGGAAATTGGGTGGACCCCAGAGCCGGTCTGGACGTCATAGAGAAGTGAAAATTCTTGTCCACACCGGAACTTGAAGTCCGACCCCCTTAGTCGTCCCGTCCGTAGCCAGTCGCTATACCGACTGCACTATCCTAGCTACTATTTTCTCTTAAGTAATTATTCTTTTATTCATTTCTCATGTGTTTCTTCCTCCTTTTCTTATTTTGTCCTTCTTCCTCTCCTGTTTACTTTCTTCTTTCTTTCTTCGTATCTCTTCTTCGATAATATTTCATAAATTCAGGAGGTGAATTCTACCAGAGTTCTTTGTTTCCAGTTTTTTATATAGTGTTGTGCGAAATGTGTTAGTATTTTGTGAAGATCTTGATTTATTATCCCCTGACGTGTAACTTGAATGGCCACGCAATGTAACATACATCAAAAAACCGTAGCGCAATACTGGTCTTCTAATTGATTGAGCAGCACCAATTTCGTATGAATCGATGTTTGTTTGTAGGTGATACGAAAGAAAGATTTCTTTGAATTGTATCGCTGTGCTGTTAACACCGAGCCAGTATCTATAATCGCAGAACATCTTTGCGTCAATTAAGGTAGGTATTTAAAAATATATTTTAATGAAGCTTTAACACGTCAATCTAGTGTTCGTGAATACAGACTCTCTTACACACTTGGATGAAAGTGTAAACTTAACGTGAACTTCGCCTGTTCTTTCTTTAAATTTATTTTATTGGATCATTTATCAAGAACGCAATAAATGTCCGCTTACCGTACACTTCCCATATCTTGACTGCAGGTGCAATGAATGAAGAAGCAGGTTCATTGCATGGCTTCAACCTGCAAAAAAAAAAAAAAAGAGTTAATCCATTATATTCTAGTATTATACAGTCACGAAAACCAAACTACGGACTTACTACTCTCGCAAAATGTATACAGTTGTAAGGGAAATTCAACAGAATCGCCATCGAGACCCGAGGAGTCACTACTGTTCATGACAACTCATTCCCTTGCGTAGCAAAGACCACGAAAGCCACGTTATACTGCTGCTGCTGCTGCAAGATTCCCCGTAATGTCCGCTTCTCTATCCACAGCGACTGTTGCAATCTATGGCTGGACCTCTCACCAAGACACTCGGTGCTGAAGTGCAGGAATTTTTTTCACAAGCGGACTATTAAATTTCACGAGAAGAGGCATCCAGAACTTTGGGATCACAAGAAATACCTGTGTAACGGGTCAGATGGGTTTCCTGCAGTCGTCTTCTGGTGGGGCTCTTCTGAACTTCCTCTAAACCTCAGTGGAGGCAACACAAGGGGCAATTGTGGTACAAAAGAAGCGTACTGGGGATGTGGATTAGGTGACTGAAACAACTGTTTCTTTATGAAATTTTAACTTATTCATCTATTAATTGTGTGGTTCAGTATTATCGATTAAATTTCACGGGACACTATATGAATCACGTGGCTTGTTTTATAATTTACAAACAGGATTAACCATTATTGAGTATGAACCAGAGTCAGAAATATTTTACGACGGGCGGTTTACCGCTAGTCAGTTCGCCTAGGCGACAAACCCTTTGAGACTCATGACAAGTAATTTTATTTTCCAACTGAACATTTGTGGTTATAATTCTTGTGTAACATCCTCTTTCACAAGAGGATGGGTCTGTCGTTTACATTTGCTGCTGATCCAAAACAGCGCAGTTATTCTGAGGTCTGAGTCCCCAGGGACTCACGGCCATATTTTAATATATTAAATTCGAGACTCCCCCAACCTGGAGAGCAGGAACAGGAACAAGGTGGCGAGGTTATACCTACAGGTACTAGATTCCATTTTCGTCTCCCCCTACGACTCTCAGGACTACGGTGGATGTATTCGACCCCGCCTCCACACGGGATTAGAATTTGAGGTTCTCACAGCGGTGGTTATGAAGAGTCCTGTCTTCTGGGATATAACACCGTGTAGTCCCTTGAAAGTCAACAGACGTTTCTGATAAATATATCTCCTTTTCCTTCTTCAGAGTCGAATAATACGACAATCAAAAAGCCAACATGAAGCATATAGCAGGTAGAGCAACGAACTACATGGCGCTATATCCCAGAAGTTAGTGCTCTTCAATGTATCCGTTCTCCGCATAGGATATACACGTAGTAGCTTGCACTGCCAAGTTCACAGCATGGTAGTTACAATTTAAGAAAGTGTACGCATATCATGACGTCACACCTTTTTCCATGCATTTAAAACGTAGACTGGGAATGAACATTCCAACTGGATCTAGACGCTCTTACTACAGCACTTGCGCATCGCTGCAACAGCCGTGGCTGGAGTACGGAGCAATGCCGTTGTATCGTTGGATGTTCGCTGCCTTCCATGTAGGAAACGGTAACCACAACAATATACAGGCAACAATTGAATAACTTCCGTTGCTATGCAACGACACTGTAAATACAACAATAGAACCAATGTCGCAAGAGGCGTTTTCTGTGCTGTGGTCCGACCCAAGATTATATAAGGAGAAGTTAACTTATTGGCAGTTCAGGTCAAGCATAGGACCGTTCAAATGACTAGACTGCTGTTGTAGCAGGAGCTAGTAACGACAGGGCATGATCTGCTGTACTGAATCTGGACTGACAGAGGCCCTGTGTATGTTGTATATATATTTCTTTTCATTGGCACTTCAGCCCCAGTGGGCCTAGGCCTAACTCCATGAAACTCTCCGTTTCGGTTTTACTAGATCTTAGACATTCGGTAGGACTCCTTGGGCGGGTGATCAGCGCGTTGCAATGCCTCTACCTGTACACAAACACAGGGAAACGCACACAAACATCCATGCCCTGAGTGGGATTCAAACCTACGATCCCGGCTTCCGAGCGAGCGAAAACAGTGCATGCCTTAGACCGCTCGGCTACCGTGACCGACATGTTGTATATACATACGTTTAATAACAGGTAAAATTTAAATTGTACATTCTGACAACAGACTTATTAATGCTGACTGTGACCCTGGCAAATGACAGACCCGTCCTCTCGTCAGAGACAGCGCCCCATATCAACAAGCCTGCAAATATCTGACAGTAATACAGATCTGGTCTTACGCCCCAGATGGGTGCTTTATTCCCAGGCAGACTGGTCGACTGACCGTCGGTCGTAACATAACTTTGACTTTGATCAATTGTCAGTTCAGTTGTCAGTTGAAAGTCATCCTGTGAAGAGAAAACTTTGTGAGTGCTGTAGTTACAGTGAGACTGTTATAAATTCGTTGCCAGGAAAGACTAATGAAGACTTAGAAGACTTAGCGTGTCTAGTGATCTGTGAAGTGGGTAGATTGGCGATAGCGCTATAATTTATTGTGGCTACGAGTGATTGTAAAGAAGGCATTATTAACCCAATCATCCAATCCAAACCTCGTCTTATAAGCCACCCACACAGACGACAATATATTTAAAAATTCACAATGGCTTACTTTTTTATAACGGTGTTGACCCTGTATACCAAACGTGAGGTTATAAATCCAACACCTTTAGAAGAACGCATCGTTAACCGTTGTTAAGCGCAAGCGCTTCATGCCAGCTGTATGTAAAATTCGTAACAGTAAACATGAATTATTAGTGAGCGAAATCTATTTTACTAGTCTTCTCTGGCATGAAATAAACCACTACGAGAGGGGTAATTGCCCATAAGCAAGTTACTGCACGTGCAGTGTGGACAGGATTTGATGAATTGAAACCTCCGTCTACAAGTACGACATTACAGCCAAGGTTTGGAGAGTAGCCAAACACCAGGAAGTTGTAACATTCTGAAGAAAAAGAATTCTCAGTATTTAATTAATCCCTTTGTCATGGGAACGGGAAGTCCATTCAATGTAAGCGAACATCACACGTTTCTCATTGCGGCGTTTGTGACGGAAGATAATATCACTAGGACGTTGCAGCTTCCTAAGCAGGAATTTTGTTATCAGAATGCCTGTATTTCCCTTAAAATTATTTTGAACTGACTGATTTACATCGAAGGCTCAATACCGCAAACATAAATACCAGCAACTGAATTACACCCCGAACAAAAGAAACTCGGTCTAATTTTCTGAAAGCCGCTTAAAATTCGTTTAACACAATCATCGGATTTTCGCTGTCCTACAGGGGGTAAATTTTCAAGATATCTCCTTCCCAGAATTCAGTGTGTTTTTGTTTTGATCTCTGTCATCACTCTCACATTTTCAGATACTGCTGTTTTGTTGAGCTAACCATTCCAGTAACAATAAAAGCTCTGTATAAATCTCGAAGTCTCTCGTTACATCACATATCCATCTCGAGTTCGACGATAATTCAGCTATCTGTGGTTCAAACAGTTTCATCCTGTCTCTGTACTTGGTACTTGTGTAACACTTAATTCTCATAACGCTTGATACTTTAGAAGCAAAATTGAAGGGAGCCAAGGAAGTCTCCAGGCAGGATAGACGTTCAGTTTTAATAGATCTAACAACATGAATATCTGAGTAGGGCTCATAAATAATACTTTCTTATTGAGTAGATTTCTAATTTGCCGGACATAACCTCAATAATTCGCACCGTTGCCGTGTTTGTAATTGATAATTTACAAGCAGTGCCTTACATATAGTTTGCAGGTAAGTTAATAATTCATCTGTGTAAAAAACTTCACATGGCTCATTACTAATCACCATCAACCGATTGCCAGAGAATATTTTCATACAGCCGTCATGTTGTTTTATATTTCACAAAAAATTACATCAAAGAAAGCTGTACATTTTTCCAAAGATTTATTATCTTATATCACTTCAGGATTTAGGTTTATTAAGCGCTCCTACTGTCCTCCAGCTAGTGCCGAGGTCAAGAAAATGTGGATCTACACACCCACCTTGCCATGCGACTTCAGAGCGTAGTGCCTAATTAGTTATTTGGAGCTCTTATCTACATGGTAGTGAACCATCGCTTTCCATGGAAGATGGGAAATATCTTGACTAGATAAACGACAATTATTATCTCAACAAGTGCTCTGATCAATGGTTGAGTCAAGTATAAACGCATTTAGAAAAACGACTGTCATTCATTGAAAACCTGGGTTCCACAAGGCAACATTTTGGCGCCACTGTCTTGCCTTCTATGTTCTCTATGCTATGTTTTCTATGTTTACTCCATTCTTAGCCACAGTACATATCTCAGCTGCCATTTCAGTAAAACATACGTATTATAAGTACTTAACTAGCTACTTTCGTATTCGTTAAGCTAATCAGTACAACTTCAAACCGTAAGCATGCAACATAAATCAAACTGCACGTGACCGCTAGTTTTATGCTGGAATACATGCTATGTGGCAGAAACAAAGATGTATGTACAACTGAGGTGCGGGTTGGCCTATGTCTTCAAAAGTCGCAGCTTTGTGGCTGTTTATTTGATTAAAATTCAACTTAACTATGTTGTTATTAACGCCTCTCAGCACACTAAACAAAAGGCAATAACAATTTAAAAATTAATAATAAAACGTCTATAACTTCAGGGAACATAAGCTGTCTTGAGAAGCTGACCACGCTTTCATAGAACTCGAAGGTTCAGTACCTATCCACAAGACCCTCAACCAGCTGGAACTAGCTTACAAGCCCATATACCACTAGACTTCCCAAGTGGACGGCCTCCTTCGGAAGTTTCGAACAATATTTTGAACCTATTTCTTATCATCACACGTACTGTTTGTCCGAGTTTCTCATCCGCCATGATATCATTCTAATGGGCTTTGCGAAGGATACAAGTATTGAAGTGCTTCCGTAGGTATCATTATTTCCGCAACACTATTTACATTAAGATAAGTACAAATATTCGTATTTCTGTT